GCATTCTGACGATAGACCAGTGCCGGTTGCATCCTGACGATTGACCAGTGTCGGTTGTATTCTGACGATTGACCGGGGCCGGTTGCATTCTGACGGTTGACCAGTGTCGGTTGTATTCTGACGATTGACCAGGGCCGGTTGCGTTTTGACGATTGTCCAGTACCGGTTGCATTCTGACGATTGACCAGGGCCAGTTGCATTCTGACGATTGACCAGTGTCGGTTGCATTCTGACGATTGAACAGTGCCGGTTGCATTCTGACGATTGACCGGGGCCGGTTGCATTCTGACGATTGACCAGTACCGGTTGCATTCTGACGATTGCCCGGGGCCGGTTGCATTCTGACGATAGACCAGTGCCGGTTGCATCATGACGATTGACCAGTGTCGGTTGCATTCTACGATTGACCGGGGCCGGTTGCATTCTGACGATTGACCAGTGCCGGTTGCATTCTGACGATTGACGAGTGCCGGTTGCATCCTGACGATTGACCAGTGTCGATTGCATTCTGACGATTGACCGGGGCCGGTTGCATTTTGACAATTGACCAGTGCCGGTTGCATTCTGACGATTGCCCGGGGCCGGTTGCATTCTGACGATTGACCAGTACCGGTTGTATTCTGACGATTAACCAGGGCCGCTTGCCGCTTCACCCAGTTGCTGGCAGTGATGCACTGATTATATTCCAGAAAGCTGTAATTGATAACGCTAATGGCGGATCACCAGACACTCTCTGTAATTTTCTGTTGGTACAATTTCCATTTTTGAAAGTGCTTGGGTCCTTCGTCATGATCAACCCGTTGAGCCGACCGTTTACAATTGTCATAAAGGATCCATTTCTCATTAAAAGCCGCTATTCGATCAAGGAAGTGGATCATTCCAATATTGCAGATGCATCAGGGAACACACTTCAAAACGTCACTGAGTTCCTGAGGAACACATTTCTCAATTTTCTTCACCTTGGCAATTTTCTTGAGATCTTCCGAATATTGTTGAAATACTGACACTCCCATCATCTGAGACATTTCTCTGACAATTTCACATGAGTTTTTGTTCGAATAGTGTTTTCAGATATTGTTTGACAATTACAGATCGACGTCCTCTACCGCCTTGACCTTCAATACTCGTATCCCCACTGCGGAACTTCAGAAAGCAGCGCTATACTGTCTGCTAACAAATGGATGCTTCAACACCCCCCATCCCATCCCATCCCATGTGCTGTTAATGTTGGCAGCACTTTGAGAAACATTATAGACGATTCTGAATTAACGCAAATAAAAACACATTTTTATGTTCAAGATGAGGGTATCTAATGTTTTAAGCTAAATACTCCCGCTGTAAGTCTCAAGGTCCTCGTCAAAATCCGGAGAAGGATATGCAATGTGATAGGTCCTGATCTGGCATCTAGTCTACAGTCCTTTTTTTCACAGACGTGCCGTCGTTTCCTCTGTCTCTTCTAAAAAGTATTTTCACGGCAACTTTTCCGACGAGTTGCTTTCGCTGGTTCCCAGACTTCATGAATTTAAGCGAGCTACTAGGTTGGCATCTCGGTCCCACCCTTTCACTGTCGAAACGGTTAAATGCAACTGTCTCTCCTAATCAAACAGCTTCTTCTCTCGCACTTCTCGTCTGTGGAACTCTCTTCTTCTTACTTGCTTCCCTGATAACTATAATCTTCAAATATTCAAGTGTAATGTCAATCGACATCTTCTGATACCTTGATCTGGTTCCCCGTCCTTCTCTTTATCCTCTCCCCAAACACACTTCTTTACTCTTGTTCTCTACCCTCTGTAACCTCCTTGCAGGCTAGTGGCACCCCCGCTTCGTTTGGGGTGAAATGCTTAAAACACAAAAAATTATGAAACAAAGAAAACTCTTTAATCATTAGGAATGATTTTAATCATTTTTGTTTATTATAATAATATATTGGAACACAAAAGGTTTCTTCTAAAATCGAGCATTATTTTCTAAACCGTGTCAGGGTTTCATCGTTGAATTCCAAGTATTTGTATCCCTTACTTCATCTTGCCTTTAGATGCTATTTTATTTGACAGAAAAGGGTTTATCTGGAAAATGATTTAACAGAGCTTAGGAAATATAACACCGAAATCAGAAGGCGTATTGGAAAGATGACTTCGAAAAGCTAAGCAAAGTATTAAGATACAGAAAAAAAAATATCTTTAGAAACATGTGACATGTGAATGCTGCAAAATCTCCTCATCGATGAATAGGAGGCATTGAAGTAAGAAAAATATGGTCCTAGAGAAGAATTTTCGAAAATACCATGGCATCTGAGTAACAGAGAAATTTTAAGGAAAACAGAAAGACACTTATACATAAAATCAGACAGATTTAAAATTTCTAAAGCACAGAAAGATGATTTGTAGAATTTGATACTCACATGATATTTTGAAGGCAAGATGGACATAAGAAAGGAGTTTGTTCGAATATATAGCAGAACAGGATCTGGGAAGAATGGTGAAAAGACGAACGTTAGTAAGAGCTACAAAAGGATAGGTAGTTGTGGAGAACTATGAACGCCCAAGAACTGAAAAAATACAGCACATAAATCAAGAGTGCAGATCATCAGGTCATGTTCTTTAACTATGCAGTTTGTGTTAAATATTGACATCAAATTGAACAAGTTTTATTTATTCATCACTTGTCTTACAGTCTTCTTTGGTTAGGCTTTTATTGTCCTGATCTGTTTCTGTACTATGTTGTGTCTTGCGAGAGAGTGATCATAATTTGATTGATATGAAACACTTTACAGTGCCTTGAACCTTCGAGAGGATTTCTGAAATGCTACTTCTTGAAATTCCGACTTCTTTCGCTGTGGTACGTATTCTTGACCATCTTCACTATCTTCATCTGTATGAAAGAAAAAAATACGGTAGTATTGCCTATTAGAGAACAGAGAAAAAACCAAAGAAGGCTAAATAGTCGAAAACGTTTAAATAGCGATTTTGGGATAGGCCGTCTGACTAAGGTACAAACTCTCCTATTTTTGACGACCCACAAAAGGGCTTCCATTCTCATTTTGATAATAAGGGAAAGAAATGAGTCCAATCGGACCCGTGTTCCGTCTATAAAAAAGCGTGATTAGAACATTAATTAATAAGCTGGATATTATTAGAAATTTGTAATCGTTTAAAATCTGCACGGTACAGTATATAATGTAAAATTTTGCTTGATTGAAGAGAAAAAAATAACATGTTTAAGTAAAATTAAAAAGCCGGGTAATTCGGCAAAATCTTAATTGCGGGCTTATTGTTAAGTCTAATACGAAATTTAACACTAGGATAGTCGAGGTGTCGTTTTCGACACCTTCAAATTTTCAACAAATTCCTATGGAATAACTAGTTTTGGTTCGATGCTGAGGCTTATGGACAATTATTGAATGTTAGCGAAGATGCTTAACAGACTTAATTCTTTAAAAAATATTCAGTGGAATAGCTGATATCTGAGGTTTTACTTTGAATGGCCGAGGTGTCGTTTTTGACACCTAGGCTATTTATAGGATAAATGCATTGAAAAATTCCTCACAAGCAATAATACTTGTGTTTATGTCCCTATCTATCTATTTATCTATCTATCTATAAAACACACACACATAATTTATATATATATATATATATATATATATATATATATATATATATATATATATATAAAGTGAACATGGAAGTCAACGCTTAGAGGCGACAGTCTGTTTCATGCTATATGCAATCGTCAGGCCACATATGCTGTTATTTATTTATTTGGGTCAAATTATATTGCTCGAGCAATATAATTTGAGCCAAATAAATAAACAAGCGACTTCCGGTAAAATAACCGCCATAATAGAATACCCACAATGCACCACTAACCCGTATATATATAAATAGCCGAGAAAAATAACAGCATATGTGGCCTGACGATTGCATATAGCATGAAACAGACTGTCGCCTCTAAGTGTTGACTTCTATGTTCACTTTTATATTTTTACACGCTCTATCTCTGATATTGAGCACTTTATTCCATAAATATAGCACACCTTAAGACTATATTTTTTATATATATATATATATATATATATATATATATATATATATAATCACTTTCTTTCAGTATGAGGTATACTAATATTTGTGAATTTCTTTTCAGACTTGTTATTCCTGACTTGAATATTGAATATATTAAAGATGGCTGCTTCACGGCGTAATGTAAATAAAGATGTCAAAGGAACTGGCCATCCTAGTGTTAATTGTTGATTTGCAATTTCGAATGAAAACGGCGCCAAAATTGTCGTATCCTGAGGTGTCTGTGTCTAACAGTTTTCATTATTCAGTGTGTTTTGATTAATATATTAGGTTGGTGCAAAAATAATGACGTAAGAATGTCGTTTTTTTACGTTAAAAATTACGTCATTATTTTTGCACCAACCTAATACTTTTCATTCTTATTCTACCTTTTTAAAAAATAGCGTAATCGTTTATACAAAACTCGTATTGATAACGAAATCCATTTTGTTTCAAACAATGCTACCGTTAGATATATAAACTTAAAAAGTGCATCACAGGTGGACGTATATAGCTCATCTCTTTTATCTCTTCCTTTGATATTAATGTAATAATGCTACTGAGTAGCAAGTCTATTTCTTGGTATGTACTATCAAAAGCTTTCAGATCGTGCGCGGCAAGCAATCCGCGTTCTTAGGATACATGTTTAGTGTTAAAGATAGCATGGAGATCTGACTAAGGCACAAACTCTCCTATTTTTGACGACCCACAAAAGGGCTATTGAAGTGAAAACAGTCGGCTTTTCTAACACCGAACTAGTGAACTGAAAAAGAAAACTACAAACAGAGGCACCTCTAAATAGATTCTGATTGACTACAGTTGGCCTTTTATATACGGCCGTACCGTGGCTGAAAGACCTCAGAAAATGAGAGTAATCTAAGAAAAGATGCTGAACAGTGACTGGCGTGTTCTGTTCCTAATTCCACGTGGAAATATAGTTCATGAACGAAGCGGACATCGAGAAAGGAAGTAATGCTTTTCTTCGAGACAGTCTGTTAATTGTTTGCACGAGGAATGGCCTAGATATAAATGATAAATTGTCAAAGATATATTTGCAAAAATAACCACTATATTTTTTTTTAAGTTATAGGATTCGAGCGACCGGGTTACTTGACTTTTTCATTTTTTTTTTCTTCTTTTTTCGTTTTCATTTGTTTCGATTTCTTTTTGAAGATGGTTTTCATTGAAATATATACATTGAGATTCTGCGTGTATAATTCGGAAGATATCCAAAAAATACAGATAGATAGATAAATAGATAGATAATGAACAAACAGATTACAAGGAAGTAATGGTGAAAATAGATAGATAGATTGCAAGGAAATAATGATGCAAATAGATAGATAGATAGATAGATAGATAGATAGATAGATAGATAGATAGATAGATAGATAGATTACAAGGAAATAATTGTGAAAATAGATAGATAAATAGATATGAACAAACAGATTACAAGGAAGAAATGGTGGAAATAGATAGATAGATTGCAAGGAAATAATGATGAAGATAGATAGATAGGTAGATAGATAGATAGGTAGATAGATAGATAGATAGATAGATAGATAGATAGATAGATAGATAGATAAAAATAATGGTGAAAATAGATAGATAGATAGATAGATAGATAGATAGATAGATCGATAGATTACAAGAAAATAAATAATTGTGAAAATAGATAGATAGATAGATAGATAGATAGATAGATAGATAGATATGAACAAACAGATTACAAGGAAGTAATGGTGGGAATAGATAGATTGCAAGGAAATAATGATGAAAATAGATAGATAGATAGATAGATAGATAGATAGATAGATAGATAGATAGATAGATATATATGGACAAACAGATAGATTACAAGGAAGTAATGGTGGAAATAGATAGATTGCAAGGAAATAATGATGAAAATAGATAGATAGATACTGAGATAATTGATCAATATGCGTCTTTTCAAAATTTATTAGAATCAGTTCGTCAATTTTAATATATTTCAGTTTTCCTTTCCCCCCTCTCTTTATTTTTCTTCGTCTTTCTCCTTATTTTCCCCTTTTCTCTTTTCCTCACTCTTTATTGATTTTATCGTTTTTCTACATAAAAAAAGACTTTCTGAAAAATAATTGCGTATTCAGGCAAATACAAGGCATAATTAAGACGTTAAAAATACGAATAAATTTTGTGTATTCTCATCAGTTAAAAAGTATTCATTTCGTTGCTTGCGGGCGAAATTCTAATTATACATCTAATCAACAAACTGACCTGTTTTCCTCTTCCATGTCGCAACCGACCTGATGCCATTTGGATAGGCTACTGCGGACTATTTCAAATCTGTTTTAGAAACAAACTTTCATCTAATTCCAAAATGAATAAAATAACTGACAGTTTCTCGGAGCTTTTAATCATTACATCAAAGTATATACTGCTACTTATGTCTCATTTGAAAGAATTGTCAGTCCGTCCTATGAAAAGTTCAATTTGCATAAAAGATTTTTAAGTGTTTTATTAATATTTCTTTCATTTTAACTTCTGTTGCTTTTCATCGCAATTGCTCAATCCGTTATTCTACAGTCATTAGTAAATATCGGGGATTGTAAACAAAGAATAAGCTCTCGGCCATATTATTTATACCGGAATAGGTTAAACACCGACATTGTCTGCTGTAGTGGGTGGGTTAAATACATCAGTTGCATCCTCAACAGAGTGAAAAGATTCATACAAAAAAGTGGAAACCTTGCACATTCAAGTATAAACCTGGCTAATGTTTACCTTTTGATTCAAGTATTAACCCGACTAAGGTTAACTGTTGACTCAACTATAAACCCGACCAATGCTTACCTATTGATTCAAGTAAACACACAACCAATGCTTGTCTTTTGACTCGCGTCAGAACCGATCGTTTGATTCAAATATGAACTGATTTAAAATATGAGCTAAGCTGTGACACCATTCACAATAAGGCTTATCTGGTTGCATGCTTCGAAAATGTAAAATATGGCGGAGTGATGCAATCTCAGTTTATATGTAATGTTATTGTTAAGCTGATTTTGCAATTATCAATAAAATAGACAAAAAATCACAATGTACTCTGGATAAAATTTAATTACCAATCTATCATATATATATATATATATATATATATATATATATATATATATATATATATATATATATATATATATATATATATATATATATATATAATGGGCATCTCAGGGTGATGTAATGGTTGGCAAGCTTGTCTCGCTGGAACAATTACGACTGAGTAGGGATTTCGATCCTCACTGGGTGCCCCATACTTTCGGCCTTGTGCCACATCTGAACTACGCTTGGAAAATCACTACATATATATATATATATATATATATATATATGATGAATGCGAAGATAAAATTTATCACTTAGCTGATTTATGTTATTATTCAATATCTCAGTTCTGAAGTTTCGTAGACGAAACCTTTGGTAATTGTTCAATCCACTCATCAGGTTTTTTCAGATACTTTTGTTTGTGTGTGCTGTGTATATGCGTACCACACCTTTCTACACTTAAATGTTTCCGTCACTTTTTATGGGATGATTTACTTAATGATGTTATCATGGTTCCAAATGAAGTATGAACATAAATCGCATGTAATATATGTCGAGAGAAAGTTATCCCCGAGTGGAGTTGTATTTTCACCACAGTTAGGAAATTAAAACCGGCACACATGGACCTTCAAGCCCACACACACAAACAGCCACAGAGATTGTTGACTAATAGATCGTATTTCTAAAATACTATATATTTGACAAGGTGAATTGACGGTCACAAGTTCCACAAGAAAAAAAGGAAAAGAAGCAGAATATGGCGGGGTATTTTTATTGGCCCATGAACTGCTGAATCTGCAGCTAGCGAGAACGGCAGATTTCCTGGCAAAAATGGATTTTCTTCCTCCAAAATTCTTTAGTGAGAATTTTTTGCTTGCTAACGAACATAGTCGGAAAGAGGCTAAGGGAGTTTATCTCAGATACTAAACCTTCTCCGTAACTGAAAAGTAGTCGGCAATATTCCTCTCCTGGTGAACAATAAAACAATAATGATTATAAATAATGAACATTATTTATTGCGTCATATGCCTTGTGCTATTATTTTACTATAAGAAAACTTTTCACCTGGCAAAAAGATGACTGATTTTAATTTCCGTAGAAAACAGTTCGACTTAGATGTATTAGCCAGAAGGCAGTCCTGGAGACTGACACAATAACAAAAGCACTATAGTCCACTATAGAACTACGAACAGCATCACCTAAACATCTCTTCCAGCCTTCAAGCATGATGTCGTGACAATGTCACGCTAGCACTAATATAAATGGAGAAATGTCTTGAAAAATGTTTGACGTTGTCATACCTGAACGTACCTATTCTATTATTAATAGACTCTCCCACACATAATAAGTAGTAGTAGTAGTAGTAGCGGTCGCCAGTTGGGGCTCAGTGGTGTTGAGCGAGTCAGTCGATGTCGGACATTGAAGTATCAACCATCACAACTAGATTGCTGCGTCATTAACTCTTATTTCAAGTTCCTAACGTTTTGTACGTCGGACCGTTTTTAGGAAGGACTTAGCGAAAATACAAGACTCCACTGTGAAAACAACTCTACAGCTGAAGTATAATAAACAATGCAACTACACGCGAATACTTATCACTACGATCTCGCTGTCTAAAGTGAAACATGTTTTCTTTTACCTAAGAAATCGCTGTAAGTGATGAAACACTTTTATTGAGAATCCCTACCAAAAACACAAAAATACTAAAAAGAATCTTAACGACACAAAAAGATTCGTTTATTATAGTAGTAGCTTAAAAGCCGTCCTACTGAGCGGCATTTAAGCTAGCTCCTGTGAAGGGCTATTCATTAGGCCTTCATCACAATAGGTAGGGGAGGAGTAGATGTGATAGGCAACAATAAACTACAGAAGAACTCAAAATTGATCGCTGCATTTAAGTATTGCATTTAATATTTAAGCTTAACTTGTAAAAGTTCAACGCTACTTCTACTGCCACTTAATTTAAAGAAAATTTGATGTACGTAGGTCCTTCTTTCCGTACAAACAATAATTTTTCTTCCATAGATGACTTACGCTGCTGGAATTCGCCGTTAAATTCGATATTCCTAAATTTAAGCTTCTTTTAGAATTCAACGATAATTCTTTACCCCGACACACTTTAAAGACAATTTGATCTACGAAGGTCTTTACGTTCCGTACAAACTATTATTTTATTTCAAGGATGACTTCTGATAGATTTTTCAGTTAATTTCGATTATTTCTAAATTTATTTCCAAATTATAAAATTTGCTATCGTACAAAAAATTCGTCGCAAAGAATCACGTAATAAATCGCCGGAAACAATCGCAGTAATGAAAAATTGGGAATCCAAAATTTCAGGACTGCGGGTCCCGGACTCTAAGAGTAAAGTTGAAAGCAGTGTATTTTGGGAACAGTATTTTTTTTCATTTGAACATGAGCTATTGAAAATTAGACATTTGTGTCCCTTTAATTGTTTTTATAAGAAGAAGACAACTTGGAGGGAATCAGTAAGCAATCGCAGTAATGAAAAATTGGGAATCCAAAATTTCAGGACTGCGGGTCCCGGACTCTAAGAGTAAAGTTGAAAGCAGTGTATTTTGGGAACAGTATTTTTTTCATTTGAACATAAGCTATTTAAAGTTAGACATTTGTGTCCCTTTAATTGTTTTTATAAGAAGAAGACAACTTGAGGAATCAGTAAGCAATCGCAGTAATGAAAAATTGGGAATCCAAAATTTCAGGACTGCGGGTCCTGGACTCTAAGAGTAAAGTTGAAAGCAGTGTATTTTGGGAACAGTATTTTTTTTCATTTGAACATGAGCTATTGAAAGTTAGACATTTGTGTCCCTTTAATTGTTTTTATAAGAAGAAGACAACTTGGAGGGAATCAGTAAGCAATCGCAGTAATGAAAAATTGGGAATCCAAAATTTCAGGACTGTGGGTCCCGGACTCTAAGAGTAAAAGTTGAAAGCAGTGTATTTTGGGAACAGTATTTTTTTTCATTTGAACATGAGCTATTGAAAGTTAGACATTTGTGTCCCTTTAATTGTTTTTATAAGAAGAAGACAACTTGAGGGAATCAGTAAGCAATCGCAGTAATGAAAAATTGGGAATCCAAAATTTCAGGACTGTGGGTCCCGGACTCTAAGAGTAAAGTTGAAAGCAGTGTATTTTGGGAACAGTATTTTTTTTCATTTGAACATGAGCTATTGAAAATTAGACATTTGTGTCCCTTTAATTGTTTTTATAAGAAGAAGACAACTTGAGGGAATCAGTAAGCAATCGCAGTAATGAAAAATTGGGAATCAAAATTTCAGGACAGCGGGTCCCGGACTCTAAGAGTAAAGTTGAAAGCAGTGTATTTTGGGAACAGTATTTTTTTCATTTGAACATGAGCTATTGAAAATTAGACATTTGTGTCCCTTTAATTGTTTTTTATAAGAAGAAGACAACTTGGAGGGAATCAGTAAGCAATCGCAGTAATGAAAAATTGGGAATCCAAAATTTCAGGACTGCGGGTCCCGGACTCTAAGAGTAAAGTTGAAAGCAGTGTATTTTGGGAACAGTATTTTTTTTCATTTGAACATAAGCTATTTAAAGTTAGACATTTGTGTCCCTTTAATTGTTTTTATAAGAAGAAGACAACTTGGAGGGAATCAGTAAGCAATCGCAGTAATGAAAAATTGGGAATCCAAAATTTCAGGACTGCGGGTCCCGGACTCTAAGAGTAAAGTTGAAAGCAGTGTATTTTGGGAACAGTATTTTTTTTCATTTGAAAATGAGCTATTGAAAGTTAGACATTTGTGTCCCTTTAATTGTTTTTATAAGAAGAAGACAACTTGGAGGGAATCAGTAAGCAATCGCAGTAATGAAAAATTGGGAATCCAAAATTTCAGGACTGCGGGTCCCGGACTCTAAGAGTAAAGTTGAAAGCAGTGTATTTTGGGAACAGTATTTTTTTTTCATTTGAACATGAGCTATTGAAAGTTAGACATTTGTGTCCCTTTAATTGTTTTTATAAGAAGAAGACAACTTGGAGGGAATCAGTAAGCAATCGCAGTAATGAAAAATTGGGAATCCAAAATTTCAGGACTGCGGGTCCCGGACTCTAAGAGTAAAGTTGAAAGCAGTGTATTTTGGGAACAGTATTTTTTTTCATTTGAACATGAGCTATTGAAAATTAGACATTTGTGTCCCTTTAATTGTTTTTATAAGAAGAAGACAACTTGGA